GGCACCATGAGCCTAGGTTTCCACATTTGTAAATGGCAGGATTACTGTAGCTTCCCTTAAAATTGTGATCAGGGTGAAATAAAGCCATGTGTGGCTAGCACAGTGCTGGGCAGATGACTGGTCAAGAAGCAGCATTTTTCCCGGTTGTGTGTGGAGAGAAGAAGGAATAATAAATGAGTGAGTGGGTGACAAATGAGTGGGGGAGGAGTGGATGAGTGTGTGAATAAATGAACGATTGAACGAATGGACCAATGGTCCTGCATGACCTTGGCTTTCCCACAGAGGCTAACGAGACTCCTTCATTCAGGAGCTCTGGCCTCCAGGAGCCGCTCTGGCTCTCTTCGGCTGTCCCTGGGATGCTGGCTCCAGGTCCCTGCAGGTCCAGCCTCCTGTCCAGTTCCTGAGCTCCCTCCATGCTCCTGGTTCTGCATGTCACTCTGCTCCCTCTTGAAGGTCTGAACCTATCACAGGCCTGTATATCTCTGGATGCCCTGCTGTGTTTGGGGCCCCTTCCCTTCCTGCCCCTCTGGCCTTTTTGACACCCTCACTGATGCCAGGGGCTCCCAAAGCTGCTTTCAGGGATGATGCCTCCTCTCACTCGGTGACATAGACCCTCAGTAACCTGGGAAGTAGGCAGTACCTGCCCCACCACCACTGTGCAGTGCGTGGGGGCTCAGGACAGTCACAGCTGGGAGGCTTGCCGACACCTCCCAGCCATCTGTCCATTGTCCATCCACTCCTGACTCCACTCCCCAAACTCAGCCTGGATTCTCCTGATAATTTGGATTTGACTGACTTCTGGAGTCCTTTGCAGAACTTTGGTTGGTTGGTTTGTTTTGTCTACAGCAACTAGCTGAGATTGCCTTGGAATGCTACAGGGTCTGGTCTATTCAATAGTCACAGTGGGATTGGAGTAAAATGAGTTCACACCCACTCTGTCCAGTTGTTAATTCCGCAGCTCCCATGGGCAGGTGGTGAGGGAGGCCCAGCCCCTGTTGTTCCTGTAAGGGACTAACAGTGACCAGACACGGTCACCATCATCCCTCGCCTCTGTTCTGTGTCTGTTTTGAGAGCCTTGGCCTATTCTCACTTCCCTCCAACTTGTCTCCACCACACCTGCCCCTGTCTATAGCAGAGGCCCTTGCAGTCCTGCCAGGGCTCCCAAAGCAAGACCAGGACATGGATCTGAGTAGAATGCTGCATGTGCACACATGTACGTACACATGCACAGACTCATGTGCCTACTTGCACACTCATGCATGTGCTCACACCAACTCTGGCTGACGGGTCACCAGATGGTCCTCTCTGGGTCAGTCCAGTTCCCTTCCTTTTGGGGTAAAACTTGAGAGGAAATCTTGAATAAGGTTTTGGGGAGCCAGAGCTTTGCAACTTCTTTATGTGTGAGCTTGGCTGAGCCCTCCCACCCTGGGCTTCATTTTTCCCAGATGAAAAACGGAGGACTTGGACCCAATGACCTCTTCTATATCTTCCAGGTCAAACCTGTCAGGGGCCTGGGACTGCTGGTTTATCTTGGGCTTCAGCATCAGGTTCTGTGGGTAACAGGTGAGTGATTCTAAAAGCAGTTCGGATGACACAGTGGGAGGAGTAGAACTGTGTAGGATGACCTCTGGGAGCAGGACTTGGAGAGCTGTAAGTGACAAAAGAGGCCATTCCCTCTGTGCTCCCTCAAACCTACCACCCGCCCATCTATCCATCCATTCTTTCATTCACTCGTTCAGGTGCCAGGCACCAGGCATGAAGGAGGCGAGGAACACACAGACTTGCCTTCGGGAGCCAACCCCAGGGTATGGCAGCTCCACTTTTGGCTATTAAGCTTTTTGTTAATAGTCCTAAGAAACTCTAAATAAACAACACAAGCCTCCATTTCCCAATTTCTTAGTTTTAGACAGAAAAAATGTCACTTCCTATGGAAGTTGAAAAAGATGAATACCCCCAGCAGCCACTGACCACTCAGCTCCTGAGGCCCATGAGCGGTCCTTCTGCTCTGCGCGGACAAGGTTTATGGTGCTCAGTTCTGTTTCGTAGTTACGACGAAGTCTTCCATGCTTTGTCTCTTTGCTGGGTTTTAAAATGGAAAACAAAAAAATAGCATTCCACTAAAACGTAAATATTATACAGGACAGAATTCTGCTTCTGGCCATGCTAGAGTAGCAGAGACTGGATTTACCCTCCCACTTGAAACAACTAAGACACCAAGTAAAATGTATAAAATAATGATGTTGATACGTTGAAAATCAGGCAGTGCAGGAGAGTGACTCCTGAGAGAGGAAGCGAAAGAGATGATGCCTGTGGTGGTCAGTTTATTGCCTGGAGAGTATTTAGGACTCAGCCCAGAGCCAGTGGTTCCCTGAGTTGAGGAAGCGGAGTTGAGTGTCCAGAGCATAAGGCATCTAGAATCCTGGGAGCAGAGGATCTGGGTGGAAAAAATGCTTGGAAAGGAGAGAGCTAGCTGCATAGACAGAGAGCTCCAGATTCTACACCAACTTCCCTGACAGCCTTCCACAGAGTCCTGGTCAGTACACATATATGGAGAAGGCATCAAGGCCAGGGAAAGACCCACCAGAAAGGAACAGGGAGGAAAATCTCTGCAGCTGACGCAGGGCTAGGAGTAGTTCACGTTTCCACCAGCCAGAATGGCAAAATCTCATAGTACACAAAACACGATTAGAGTACTTGGCAGGGCATGTCTCAGATGGGGCATAATTAGCTCTCCTCTAAAGGCTGCTGTGGTCCCAACTATCAAAACTGACATACAAGCCTCAAAAAAGAACAGTCAAAATAGTAAAATTAACAGTGCCCCATAACAAAGTCCAAGCATGTTTACAGCAGTAAAAACAAATACCAAGCAACCAACAACAGAAAAATCACAATGTCTGGCATCATGTCAAGGTCACCAGACGTGCATGCAAAGAAACAGGAAAATACAAGTCAAATGAGAAGAAAAAGTCCATCCATAGAAACAGACTGAGAAACAACACATGATCAAATTAAATTAATTAATTTAATAAATTAAAGAAAGAAATTAAAACAACTGTTTTAAATATGTTCCTTATGTTAAAGAAGATAGAGGAAGGCATGAGCAGGTTAAGGAGAAACATGGAGGATATAAAAAAAGATTGATACCAAACTTCAGCTGACAAGAACTGCAATTCTTGTGATGGGAAAAGCACTGAGTGAGATTAACAGGATATTTGACACTGGTAGAAAAGATTTGTGAACTTAAAACATAGCAATAGAAACTTTCCACAACAAAACACAGACAGAAAAAGTGACCTGCAGGAGAACCACAAATGGATTAATATATGTGTAATTGGAGTCCTGAAGAAGTAGGGAATGTAAAATATTTGGAAAAGTAGCGGCTGAAATTTTTTCAAGATGCTAAATAAACCCCAAGTAGAGGTAAAACATGAAGAAACTCCGGCAAGGAACACCACAATCAAGTTATTCAAAACCAGTAATCAAGGAAAAACTTTAAAAGCAAAGAAAAAAAGACATATACATAGTACAAATGTAAGAATGATACAAATTTCTTATCAGAAACAATAAAATCCAGAAGATAATGGACAAACACCTTTAAAATAGGGGAAAAGCAAACTGCCAGTCTAGAATTCTATACCCAGGGAAAAAAAAAAAAAAAACTTAAAAACTACATCAAAATGAAGACTTTTTGAGACATAAGAGAGGTAAGAGAATTCATTGCTGTCAGACCTGACTTATAAGAAATATTAAATGAAGTCCTTTATGAAGAAGAAAAATAATAGCAAATGGAAATCTAGATTCATTCAAATGAATAAAGAGCACTAGTAACAGTAAACTTGTGGGTTTAAGCATGAATGCACGTAAAATATAGTAAAGTTCTTTAACATATAAATAATTGACTAAAGGAAATGTGATAACAGCGTTGTGGGGCTTATCACATGTATAAAAAGAAAACATATAATTCAAGAACAGAGACCATGGGACAAGGGAACTAGAATATTACTGTTATAGGAATTTTATGCTACACATGAAGGGTATAGTATTAGTTATAGGTAGAACATAAGCTAAAGATGTATCCTATAAAACCTAAAGCACCTACACACAAAAATGATGTATAACCAATTATCCCACAAAGAAGATACAACTAAATCATAATAAATACTCATTTAATCCAAAAGCAGTTGGAAAAAGAGGAAAGAAAGAAAGCAGATGAGGGAAAAAAGCAAATAGAAAACAACAAAGTGGAAGATTTAAACCCATCACATCGATAATCACATTAAAACTAAATACTATACTTGAAAGGCAAAGATTGTTTTATTGGGACAAAAAGGCAAGAGCAACTACATGCTAACTACAAGAAACCCACTTTAACTGTAAAACTACAAACAGATTAAATGTAAAAGGCTAGAAAAAAATGCACCATGCTAATACTGATCAAAAGAAAACTGGAGTGACTATCTTAACCACAACTTAAGTAAATTTCCTGGCAAATAATATCAGTGGTAGGTAATGTCATGATAGAGGGTCAATTCATCAAGAGGGCATAATAATCCTAAACTGTATCCACATAATAATATATATTCAAAATGCATGGAGCAAAAACTGGTCACACTGCAAATAGAAATAAATAAATTCACAATTATAGACAGAGGTGTCAACTCTCAACTCCCTATTCTCAGTAATTATTAGAAAAATGTAGATAGAAAATTGGCCAAAAAAAAAAAAAAAAAGGAGGCTCGAACAATACCATCAGCTACCTTGACCTAACGGACATTTATAGAGTCCTCCACCCAATAACAGCAGAATACACAATCTTTTCAAGGACACACAGAACATTTACCAAGATTGACCATATTCTAGGCCATAAAACAAGTCTCAATAAATGGACTAGATTCAAATCAAATTCTCAGCCAAAATGGAATTAAATTAGAAATCAACAACAGAAAGATATCTAGAAATTCAAAATATTTGGCAACTGAATAGCACACACCTCTACATAACCCGTGACTTGATGTATTAGTCCTTTCTCACGCTGCTATGAAGAAAGACCGGTGACTGGGTAATTTATAAACAGAAGGGGTTTAATTGACTCACAGTTTTGTATGGCTGGAGAGGCCTCAGGAAACTTACAATCATGGTTAAAGGCACCTCTTCACAGGGCGGCAGGAGAGACAATGAGTGTCAGCAGGGGAAATGCCAGATGCCTGTAAAACCATCAGATTGCGGAAACTTCCGAGCTCTCCTGTGCGTCCGCAGCAGCCCTCGTACCGCGGAGGAGCGCGCAGCCCAGGCGAGGCCGGAGGACGTGCCCATAGAATGCCCAGGGGCGACGAGCTGTCCTGAGCCCCTCTGGTGCAGCCACCTTCCTGTCCCATACACCCTGCCCACCACGGAGTCCAGAGGGAAATCGGCCAGCAGCCCCAAGCCCGACACCAAGGTGCCCCAAGGCCACCACCGAGGCCAAGGTACCCCTGGCAGCCGATGGGAAAGCCCCCTTGACCAAGCCCTCGAAGAGGGAAGTCCCGGCTGAGAAGCAGCAGCCGCTGGCAACCCCCAGCATGGCAACTGCCAAGAAGACCCTGGCCAAGGCGAACCCCGTCCTTCTCAACCACAGCAAACTGAAGCCGGCCCCCACGACCCCCAAGGTTCCCAGCAGTCCTGATGCAACCCCGGGGCCCAAGGGTCCTGGGGACGGGGCGGAGGAGGACGAGGCTGCCAGTGGGGGCCTGGGGACCGAGGTCCCTGGTCCTGCGAGAATTTGAACCCCCTGCTGGTGGCTGGAGATGTGTCTGTGACAGCCACAGCCCTGATTCTCGGTGGGGACTTCCTGGCCCAGAAAAAAAAATACCTGCGGGCCAGGCGGGGTGCACAGAGCCACTTCCTGTACAGACCTCAGGAAGCCAGTGCATGCAGAATTCACCCTTATCTACGTGTACACACGCACATTCATTACACATCTACATATGCTCCCAACACACGCACACAGTGGAGAGGACGCCCGCACCCATCCTTGCTGATCCAGGACTTCCCCAACCTCCAGGGCAGAAGGAACCCAGGCTCCGGGGTCCACAGTGCCAGCTTTCGGGAGAAGGTCTAGCTGGGGGACTGCAAGAAAGGAATGGACCCTGTGTGTGGCCCTCCAGCGGCTGGGTGATCCTGGGCCCCCACCGCTGGTCTCTGAGTGTAGGTGGGGGTGCTGGGATGGGTTCTGCCTGGGCCCGGCCCTCGTGGGGACATTAAAGGGCGGACATTAATGGTTGAAAATACACACACACACACACACACACACACACACACACAAAAAAACATCAGATTGCATGAGACTCACTTATTATTACAAGAATAACATGGGCGAACCGCCCCCATAATTAAATTACCTCCACCTGGTCCCACCCTTGCCACCTGGAGATTATGGGGATTGCAATTCAAGGTGACATTTTGGGTGGGGACACAGAGCCAAACCATATCTCTCAAATAAGAAATCAAAAGAGAAATTGGAAAGTTCTTTGAGTTGAAAATGAAAACACAGCATATCAAAATCAGGGAGATGCGGCTAATGTATGCTTGGAGGCAAATTTAAGCACTAAGAACCTATGTTATCACAAAAAAGAAAGGTCTCAAATCAGTGACCTATGTTTTCACTTAAGAAACTGAAAAGAGAAGAGCAAATTAAACACAATGTAAGCTGAAAAAGAAAATAACAAAAATAACAGAAATAAATGAAAGAAAAAAGTAAAAATTATAAGAAAAATCCAAGAAAGTAAAAGCTAATCATTTTAAACTATCAATTAAATTGTTAAACTTCTAGTCAGTTGATGAAGAAAAAGGTAAAAAGGCACAAATTACCAATATCAGGAATGAAAGGGTGGGTGTCACCAAATATTTGCAGTGATTATAAGGAAACAATGGACTGTTGTGAGCCACTTTTTTCTAATAAATTTGATAACTTAGATGAAATAAGCAAATTCCTTAGAAGCCATAAACTATCAAAGTTCACTCAAGAAGAAATAGATAACATGAGTATCTAATAACAAAATCAAGTTTTTAATTAAAATACTAATGACAAAAACAAAAAAACAAAAAACTATAGGCCCAGGTGGTTTTCATGGTGAAGTCTAACAATATTTAAGGAAAAAATAACAATTTTACACAAATCCTTCCAGACAATAGAAAATGAAGAGGTACTTTTTTTATTTGATGAAGAGAACGCTACTTTCCTACTAAATCAAACAGACATAAGAATCAATGATGAAAATATTCTTACCAAAATTTTAGTAAATCTAGTTTATCTACATCATGACAAAGTGTAGTTTATCTCAGGAAGATAAAGTTGATTTAACATTCAAAAATCAATAAATGAACTTTATCATATTAGTGGACTAAAAAGAAAAATGCACATGATCATCTCAATAGAAAAAGCGCTTAGTAAAACCCAACATTGAGTCATGATTACAAACCCTCAGAAAACCAGGGAAAAAAATCAAAAGTCCTCATAGAATAAAGGCCATCTACACAAACAACAACAACAACAAAAATCTATATCTTCCTGAAATTGAGAACAAGGTAAAGATACCTATTCTCACCACTTTTATTAAACATTGTACTGGAGGTTCTATCTCATGAAATAAGGCAAGAAAAAGAAATAAATCAACTAGATTGGAAAGAGTAACACTTTCCTTATCATCTGTGTAGACCAGCCCATGGAATCCATGAAATAAAAGCTACTAGAACTAGTAAGTGAGTTAGCAAAGTGGCAGAGTTCTAGATTAATATACATAAACTAATGATATTTTTACATATAACAAACAATCAGAAATTGAAATTTTAAAAATGTTATCATTTCCAATACCATTAACAAATATAAAATTGTTAGCCATAAACCAATAAAACATGTGTAAGACTTGTACATTTTAAACTACAAAACATTGCTGAGAGAAACTAAAGAAGACCTAACTAAATGGAGCATGTACCATGTTCATGGATAGGAAGACTTGAAGTTGTTAAGCTATCAATTCTCCCAAGTTGAGTTATAGATCAGTGGAATCTCAAACAAAATTCCAGAAGGATTTTTAAAATGAAAATCAATAATTGAACTTTATGTTTTATATGGAAAATAAATGAAGGACCTAGAACAGTGAAAATAACTTTGCAAAAGAAGAACAAAGTTGGAGGACTTACTTATCTGATCTGAAGGCTAAATATAAAGCTATATTAAAACAGTATGGTATTGCCATAAATATAGACAAATAGATCAATGAAACACAATAGAGATTCCAGAAATAGACTCACATATATAGAGCCAATGGATTTTTGGCAAAAGTACAAAGACAATTCGATGGAGAAAGTATAGTCTTTTCAACAAATGATGCTGAATCCCCAAAAAAGTGAACTTTGATTCATACCTCACAGCATATACAAACTTTAATTCAAAAGAGTCATAGACCTTAAACTATAAAATTTTTAAAAGAAAATAGAACAGAAATCTTTGCAACTCAGATACAACATCAAAGCATAATTCACAAAAGAACAAATTGATAATATACATTTCATCAAAATTAAAAACTTCCACTCTTCAAAATACACTATTAAGAGAATGAAAAGACATAGATCAAGAGAATGTATTTTTAAATCACATATCTATAAAGGACTTCTATGCAGAACATATAAAACTCTTGAACCTCAATAATAAAATTCAAACATCCAATAAAAAGAGGAACAAGGCCTGGGGCGGTGGCTCACGCCTGCAATCCCAGCACTTTGGGAGGCTGAGGCGGGCGGATCACGAGGTCAGGAGATCGAGACCATAGTGGCAAACACGGTGAAACCCCGTCTCTATTAAAAATACAAAAAAATTAGCCAGGCGTGGTGGTGGGCACCTGTAGTCCCAGCTTCTAGGGAGGCTGAGGCAGGAGAATGGCGTTAACCCAGGAAGCGGCAGAGCTTTCAGTGAGCGGAGGTCGCGCCACTGCACTCCAGCCTGGGCAACAGAGAGAAACTCCGTCTCAAAAAAAAAAAAAAAAAAAGAGGAACAAAAGATTTGAAAAGACACTTCACCAACAGAAATATTGATGGCAAGTACGATCATGAAAAGATGCTTCTTATCATTATTCAATAAAGAGATGCAAATTGAAACCACAAGGTGATACCACTACGCACCTGCTAGAATGTGTAAAATTAAACAGACTGACATACCAAGTGATGGCAAGGATGCAGAGAAATTAGAAACCTCCTACATTGCTGACGGGAAAGTAGAAATGGCACAACCACTTTGGAAAACAGTTTGGCAGTTTATTAAGTAGCTAAATACACCTACCACATGATCCAGCCATTCCGTTCCTAGAGAAATAAAAGCATATGTCTATATAAAGGTTTGTATGCAAATGTTTATAACAGCTTTATTTGTAATAACCAAAAGCTGGAACCAATCCAAATGTTCATCAACTCGTGAATGCATTAACAAATTGCGTGTATTCATAAAATTGAAGACTCTTCAACCATAGAAAGAAATGGATTGTTGACACTGCCAAAAACATGGATGAATCTTAAAATAATTTTGCTGAAGGAAAGAGGCCAGACCCCACAAAAGTATAAGGACATACACTATGCTTCCAGGTATATAAAATTATAGAAAATGCAAACTAACCTATGATAACTGAAAGTATGTCGGTGGTTGCCTCGGGACAGGCTGAGGGTGGAGAATTGGAGGGAAGGATTACAAAGGGCACAAGTAGAGACTGGGGTGATGGATATGTTTATTATCTTAACTATAGTGATGGTTTCACAAGCATAAACACACATCAAATGCATCAAATTTTGTACTTTCAATATGTGCGGTTTATTGTTTGTCAATCATCCCTCATAACACTGTTTTAAAAGGAAATACTAAAATTAAATTGTAAATTATCAAAGAAAAAGATAAACACTAAAAGCACTTTTTAAAAGGTTATAACTATAAAGACACTCGGATTAGATTGAGAGCAAACTTCACAGTTGCAACAATTATGACCACACACAGTGGAACAATATATTCTAAGTGCTATGAATATAATCATCAATATGGAATCCATACCCTGCTGAACAGTGTTCAAGAGATAGTATAAAATAAATGCATTTAAAAATTATTTATTTTAAGAAATTCACACACAATACTGTATGTATTTATGGGGTATGTGGTGATGTTTCTATAAATACGATGTATAGTCATCAGATCAGGGTAATTAGCATATCTATCATCTAAAATATTGATCGTTTTTTGTGTTGGGAACATTCAATATCCTCTCTTTTAGTTATTTGAAAATACATATTGCTGACTGTAGTCATCCCACAGTACTATAAAACATTAAATTTATTCCTCCTAACTGTAATTTTGTGTCCTTTAACAAATCTCTCCTATATCCCCCTTCCCCTTCCAGTCTCTAAGAACCTGGGTGCTACTCTTTACTTCTATGAGATCAACCTTTTAGCTTCTACATGTGAGTGAGAACATGTTTAACTTTCTGTTCCTGGCTTATTTCACTTAACACCATGTCCTCCAGGCTCATCCATGTTGCCATGGCGGACAAGACTTCAGTTTTTATTGCTGAATAGTATTTCACTCTGTGTGTGTGTGTGTATGTGTGTGTGTGTGTGAAATCACATTTTCTTTAGCCATTCATCTGTTGATGGACACTTGGGTTGATTCCATAGCTTGGCTATTGTGAATAGTGCTGCAATGAACAGGGAGTGCAGACAACTCTTGGTTGTACTGATTTCCTTTCCTTTGGCTATTTACCCAGTAGTGGGACTGCGAGATCATATGCTAGTTCTATTTTTGGTTTTTTGAGGAAACGCTATACTGTTCTCTATAGTGGCTGCACTAGTTTACATTCCCACCAATAGGGTATAAGAATTCCCTTTTCTCCACCTCCTCACCTGTTGTTATTTTTTGTATTTTGACAATAGCCATTCCAACTGAGGTGAGATGATACCTCACTGTGGTTTTCATTTGCATTTATCTGATGATTAGTGATATTGAACTTTTTCCATATATTTGTTAGCCATTTGCATGTCCTTTTGAGAACTATCTGTTCAAATCATTTGCCCATTTTTAATTGTTCT